GGCTATCATAACAACTTATGTACTAAGGCCTGGATGAGAATAAAATTTGACTTCTACCAAGGAAAACATGCCATCTTCTTTTGACTTTAGCTGTTAACAGTAAAGTAGCTGGAGTCTGCTACATTACTAGTGTAGAATATGCCTTTGGGCAGCACATGAAAATTCACTGAATCCAGTTCCTCTAAGAGGATAAAGGACTGAATTTATTCTTCTTTTGGGGGCGCCTATTTTGTCCCAGGTTTTTATCAATTAAACAACCTCACATGAGGCATTTTACATATCTTTAAATTCTGGCCTGCAGATTACTCCAATGAATTGCAGTTTTGAGATACTGTGCTTTATGATGTTCCTATAGCTGCCAGGCATTCTGGTTTGGTTGAAGGTAGCTACCTGCAGATGGACAGTTCAGACCAGAGGTATGTGTCAGTATTTATTGGTGACTTAAACTCTCATGCATTTATGATTAACACTTTGTGCCACCCCAGGTTACACAAGACACACTGTTCTGTTTTGGTTGTTGATAACCTGGTCTCAAGTATTTGAGTCCTCATCTCTCCTGGGGAAATACATGCTATAGTTTTCTTTAGCTAGCATCTTCCCAGCCACAGGCCACAACAAGTACATCAAACTTAAATGGCTCTTTACATGATCTTGTCTCACAAAATAGAATTAAATCTAAGATCTTGGTCCTTACCATCAAGGAACTCAGTAGTCAGTATCTGGATAGCCAAAAGAGCTTAGACTTCCAAGAAAAGGAATGAAAGTTTTGTTTCTCTTACCTGATGGATTCTACAATAGAGGTAAAGCTAACATGTACAAGAGCCTAACACTTCTTAAAGTTTAGACCTAGACAATGAAATTAACTTAGACAAGTACTATGAATTGCTAAAACAGACTATACCACTTTCTCAATGCAAGGTACACTACTTCAACCTGCTGCCTATGACACAAAGCATTATGCATGACAGGGATGGCCACTCTGTAGCAGAGGTGGGAGGAAGCAGGCAGCCAAGCAGCATAAAGCAGTTGGGGAGGGAAGAGTATCATAGTAGCACTTGGGGAGGGCATAGGGCTTAATTTTGTGGCACTTCTGCCAAAAAGATTGACTCTCTTGGTGCCCAGGAAAATTTAAAGTATTAAAATACACTTCCAAGGCACTACACTGGACACAAAATTCTCCCCTAACCTCTGAGGAGAGAAGATGAGAAAATGTTAGCTAAATGATTTTCTTCTGCTACAGGAAGGCACTCAAATAATACAGATGAGTGTGGTATTAAAACCTGAATAAAGTGTAATCCAAGGGACCTTATTCACTTACCCTAATGGTGGTAGAAATCAAAATCCTCCTTTCCCCTGAAGCACTCATTTCAAGAGGCAAATAATTGTTTTTACTGTTTCACTTTGTTTTTCCCATTTCACTTTGTTTTTCCCTTCCAGATATGAGCACCTTTCCCTGAGATATCAGGTAATCAGGGGTTAGGGGTTAAGATCTGGCTGAACCAAATATTCTCATTTCTTTAACATCCTTTTTTGAAGTTATGGGGGGCTTTTTTTCTTAAGATGTTGACTTTTACATGGTCCGTGTGTGACTGACTTTCAGATGCAGAGGCAGAAAATTTGTTTTTACTTGAGCATGCCATAAAGCAGCATTGAGAAGTCATAGGTGGTTCAGGTAGTAACAAGTCAGCAGGGTTTATCACTGGTATTGAGCCTGTAGGGTTTATCACTGTTTCAGTGGCTAGGTTCCTAGGTTTGCTAAACCCCCATGAGCAGAAGGGAATAACAATGCTGATGATGAGAACTGCAGGCACAAATACATGTCAAAAAGCCCCTGATCTGTCTCCCCTCTGAGCTTTCTTATTTTTTAAAGAAATTCCAAAAGTCCATGAAGTGACAAACAGGAAAGTAGGGTTGGGAGGAATCACAGTCATCTACTTTAGATCCCTGCTCAGTGTAGGATCATCCCTGACTAACCATCCCAGTCAAGTGTCTGTCTAATCTGCATTTGAAAATCTTCAGGGGAAGGAGATCCCACAATTTTTCTAGGTAGTTTGTTTCACGATTTGACTACCACATAGAAATTTCCTCCTAATCTCCAACCTAAATTTCCTGTGCTGCTGTTTAAGGCTATTGCTCCTAGTTCTGTCTCCTACAGACATGGGGAAAATCCCATCTCTATTCTTGCTACATATCCTCTATCTCCAGTATTATCTTCTCCAGACTAAGAAACCCTAGTTCTTTCAGCTATACCAGATAAGTCTTGCTCCCAAGCCCTTAATCATGTGTTGCTCTCTGCTGCACTCCTTTCAACCTGTCCACATCCATTTTGAAGTGTGGGGCCTAAACTGGACACAATACTCCAGGTGATGCTTTACCAGTGCTGAATTGAGTGGAAGAACCAGTTACCTTGATTTACAAGAGACACACTGGCACTGCACCTCCACCTCACCCCACAGTGCCATGAGATCACCAGTCTCCTCCTTGGTTCAGTTGGGGCCCCAGGTGGAGGGTATGGGTGTGGGCAAAGGCTTGGGCACAGGCCTGGGTGAGGAGGACCAGGCCATCATGGGTCCTGCATCAGCAATCTGGGCCCCTGTGCAGCTGTCCCTGTCCTGCCAGGCCTAGGCAGCTGCCTGCAGCGTCCAGCACAGGGGCATGGCATGGGACTGGCAGCTGTGCAACAGAGGCAATGCTCCGCAGCATGTGCAAGCACAGGGCAGGCTGCTGGGGGTGAGCTGTGGGTAGCTGACCCTGCTGGCCAGAATCTGTTTGCAGCTGGGCCTGGAGGCTAACAGGCCTGGCTGGAGGCTGCAGCATCTCGCAGTGTCTTGCTGGCCTGGACGGCGCTGTCCAGTGCCAGGTAGCAGGCTGGGATGCAAGCCAGCTGGCAGAGGTAGGCTGTGACCTTCCCAGAGGGACTCGGTGGCCTGGAGTGCCCTCAGGTTCCCTGTATGTGTGCCCCACAGGACTTAAAATGCTTGCAGGCTTTTAAAGCCTGAGGCAGGGGCTCCTATAGCCCAGCCCTGGGGCAGGAGAGGCTCCCAGTCCAGAGGCCAGCCCCCTAGTGGCAGGACACATCCACACACCTACAAGTTTATTACTGTGCAGTAATTCATCCTGCAGTATTAAGGATATTTACTGTGCACTAAGTATGCATATATGTAGACATACACACTTACTGTGCAGTACACTAGGATACTGTGCATTTAGGTGTCTTGTGTATACATGCCCAGTATGCGGTTGGCTCATATTCAGCTTATGATCCCAGATCCTTCACTGCAGTGCTGCTGCCTAGCCAACCATTCCCCAGTCTATTTGTGCATGCAATCTTCTTTCATAAAACCAGTACTTAGCACTTGTCCACGCTGAATTTTATCAGACTGATTCTAGACCATGTTTCCAGTTTCTCCAGGTCACTCTGGATCCTAGTCCTACTCTCCAGTGTCTGCAATTTGCCCCAACATGGTATCGCCCACAAATTTGCTAAGAGTATATTCCCATTGTCCAAACCATTAATGACTCATTAATTAGTTATACATAAAAATATTTATTCATACTAAAATTGAGTGTTTAATATTAGAGTACCAAATTCAGAATATATTAAATCATGAGATGCATCAGTTAAGGCACAAATTCCAGTCTGATGTCTTTAATAAATACACTATACAATGCTAGTACTGAATGTACTCTATTTTAATCAGAGGTAATCAGTTATTCTACTCATTTTAAAGGGATAATAAACATATATGTTTTGCTGTAACCATTAGGATTTACTGCATTTTCATTGGCTTGTTTGAATTCAGATTAAATGCAAAAGCATTATTTAAAATGTGAAATATTAAAATTAAAAATTGGAGTATTAATTTGTCTTTTAGGTCCCTGCCAGAGGGCCTGAATATAAAAAGCACTATTGTTAATATACTTTCAGCTACTAATGTTGCATTTGTAGTATTTATTTTCTTGAGGTATGATACAGTTTTTGGTTCCTTATTATAGATTTTTAAAAGCATAAACTACTGGAAATAATTAACTAAAATACTTTAAGATAACATTTCCAATTTCTCCTGTAGTTTTTTTGTACATTGCACAATGGCCACAGCAAAACAATTTCACTTAAAATACATGTTACTAAACTAAATTAGAAGCAGAAGCACATGTGTTTTCCTGTATATAGATCCATCTGTACTTAAAACTGCAATACAGAAGAGGAGCAAGCTCTTCCAAGTTCATTGATAACAACACATTGTTGTCCAGTTTTTAGATACCCATTAAGCCGTTTTGACAAAGTTGTATAAATCTGCAAGGCTGATGACCAAAACAATTTACAATAGTTGGTGCAGTAGTGTGTATACTCCCCCTAGAAAATTAAAAGTACAATGTCATCGTTATAGAGGTAGTAAACTTCCAGTGAATGCTAACCAGTCTTTTATCATGCTTCTTTCTGCCTGGAAGCCCAGGGAAGTCGATGGCTTCAGGCCTTGTTTTAATAGTCAACAGATCTGGGCAAATTGGAGACAGAAGTAGAGAGTTCCAAAGACTAAGGTTTTTCATAAGAAAATATTTCCAGTGGGTCTCTTTCCTAAACTAAGGGGAAGTACCTTTGCTGACTGAAAATATAGCAGTATAGAGCAGGGAATAGATGTTTTCTCATCTGGAACGGTTCCAAGCTTCCCAGAGCATTTTAGATCTAAGCCAACATCTTAAATTATCAAGAAACACACTGGCAGTTAATGCAGATAGGAGGACTTATAATGTACCCAGGAAACACTGTTTCACCAGCAAAGGAGCAGCAGTCTACACCAACTTCAGTTTTCAGGTGGATTTATTGTGTAGCCCTTGCTAGAGTTAACAGCAGTAATTATAAGGCGGCAAAAAAGTACTTGTCATGGTGGCAAAGTCTATGTCCAAAAGATGTTGGCTCATCTTTCTGTCTAATCTGGATGGAGAACCTCCAAATCTCAGTCTAGTGGCACCTGAGGATCCTAACCACTACTGTTCAAGTAACAGAAACCAATGTATACTTCCATCATTTTAAGAAACACAGGCATTTTACCAATCTGCCATCCTCATGGTCTGTCCTCTCTAGATGCAACCTCTTCCAGCTTCTCCTCACCTGTTCCCCAGTCCATTGGACCTAAAGTGTTTTTGTTGCTGTAGGGTGTGCCTAAATAAACAATTAATCCATCATTTATGTGCATGTTGAGCATTGAACGGAAAGGAATGTAACTATGACAATATCCTAACTATGTGGACCCTGAAGCAGTTAACTATGGTTAAAGTGTATCTGAGAAAAATGGTTTAAAATGTTAACAATGTATCTGTCCTGACCTGAGCTGAGGAGAGCTGCTCAATCTTCCCCTATGGAAACTACTTCATGGTAGAAGGGAGAAAGCAAGGGCGAGGATAATAAACACCACCTTATGTTAACTGTTTTTACAGTTAACATAAGATGGCAAAGTCATTTTTCTAGGATTCTCTGGTATTCAGCCAGCATGATATCTGGTCTTCAGGGAACCCAAATGCCCTTTCAGATACACTTGGTAACCCAAGTTTCAGTTTCTATTTTCTATTAGAATCTGGAAATAATATATATGCCCAAATTAGTTTTTCTGCTAGTTGAAAGTGGCTACAAAGAAGAACTAGCTTCACACACTGAGGAGGGTAAAAGAGACAATTTAAAGCTATCTTGACTCTATATATCTAGTATATTGAACGGGAATTGGATGCACAAATCCAAAATGTGAGCATTTCAAAATCAGATTCTCAAAATGATGCCAGTGTGAATTGAGAATAATGGCACTCAGGTCAGAGGAAACAGTGGTGTAAAACAGTTTCATCAGAGGTATTTAGGCCAGATACAGACAGTACAGTTTTACTGGTATAAGTGATTGGAAACCAGTCTATACCTGTAACAGAACAGAAGTTCGGCATGCAAAGATTGGTTTAAAAATAGCAGAATCTGGTTTAAGATTTGGCCTCCCCCCTGACCCCCCCACAAACAAAGGGTGAATGTGTGCTCTGTTTGCTACCGAACTAAACCACCATTTACAGAAAACAGTGTAAAGATTGATTCTGCCTCAGGGTTTTTGAATGTCTGTACCTAGCTCTAAAATCTATATGCCCTTTCTAGTGCAGCTTGCTACAGTGAAAGCATGTTCTGGGCTGGGAGGAGAAATGCCAATGGAAGCTCTCAAACAAAACCTCAAAGCTGAAGCACCACTTCTCCCTTCAACCTTCTTATGCCGCTCAGCTGTGGAGTTCAGATTGTATTCTTCTGTTCAAAGCTCAAATTAGAGCTGCAGTAGACAACAGTCAATTTCTAGACTGAAGAGACCATGTGGAGAAAAAATAGAAGGAACTAAAAAATAACAGAAAGATATCAGGGTGGGAAGTGGTAAACAAGAGAAATAGGAGGCATGTTAAAAACAGCAACAATCTTAAATTGCCTAGAGCATACATATCTGTATGCTCGTGACTGCATCTTGACTGAGCAGTCTTGGAGTTGGGTGCACCACTGTTACCTGACCAGAAAGTTCCAACTAGCCAATCTGAATGTGGGATTGGACAATCATCAATTAATTAGAGCCATGTTTTCCCTTTGAAGTGAAAATTTACAGTAGCTTCAGAGGGAGGAGGATTAGGCCCAAAATACTTCTAATTAGCAAAAATAATTTGACCCAGTTACAAATTGCAAAGTAACTGGTCTATAATATAGTAAATCAACAAGACAGTGCTCACGCTTAATAGCAGTATTTTTGATGTAAAGAAGAATTATTTTTTTTCAAGTGATCTGTAGTATTCAGTCAAGACTTTCCAAGCTTTTGGAGCCATGAATCCATCAGGTGGATTTTCACCTTCCCGAGCAAGCTTTCTCATGCGTGTTCCAGAGATGAAATCAAATTCATTGTTCCTAGCACAAAACAGACATGCATGAAATCAGTATGAATTTTATCAGCCCACTGTACATTAAAGCCAAATTGTTCCAAGTTCACTTTATCTTCTATGCCAAAATTTTTATTTGAAACTTGCTGGCACTATCTGTACACTAAGCCTGTAGGCATGAAAGGCACAAAACTTTATGTTTCTATTTATAAGCATCAGGAAGTAGCAATGGATCCCTTAAAAAGATCTCAATTTCCAGTACTACTTTGTATCATCAAATATAGTTTCCTCAAAATTAGGGAGTGTACTTCTGTCATTTTTCCTCTGACAGATAAATTTTTTGCTAACTGTAACATTAGTTTCAGATGTAATAAATCCTTTGTCTGGGTCCCTCGTGAGCAAATGAATGGGCTTGAGGAATGGGTCAACTGATCTCTAATTTCTATGGTTTCATCTGCCCTTTAGCAGAAATAGAAAAAAGTCTTTTTCCTTTCTTTTGGCAAACTGGCAATCATAAGAAGTAATTAAATATATTAACTATGTATAGGTTAGTTTAAGTAATTAATATTGTTATGCAAGGTGTTACCTTTCTGGGTCATAGAAAACCATGGCTTTTTTTACTTTATTGTATGCTGCAACTCTGAAGGGAATGATCTCCACAGATGTCAGGCCTGGTGCCATGCTAAGGACCTTTCCTCCTTGTGTTGGCTCATACAGGTCTTTCTTGGTCTCTGGATGAGGCATGCCTGCAGGGTCGCGACCCACAATGTAGAAATTGGCTCCAGCAATCATTCGAGCCCTGCAGTGCCACTGAACCTGCAAAAGTTAAACACAAATAGTGCTATTTAAATGCAAACTGATGTATATAGATTTTTTTTTCTGGCTTTAATAAAAAACTAATTGAAAGTCAGGCACCCTCTGTAGTTGGGCAAACAAGAATGACATGAATGAAATGGAAGGCACTCATGAGAAGGCTATTTGTTGTTTCTGATGACTGATTTATTACCATCAACTACCAGTCTTTCCACATCCTCTGCTTAAATTAATGAAACTTGTGGAAACGGACAGTTCTGCAAAGGATACATCTAATGGAAACTCTGAGAAGGAAACTGATTTTATTCTATTTTTAGGGCTGTAAAAATAACAGTGCGATAGCTTGTTTTCTGTTTGTCATAACTATGTAACTGAAAAATATCTGAAAATCAAGAGACCCATACTGCAGAAGGCTGAAGAGTGAGCATTTCACCAATGCCTCTAGTTTCTAGTAGTTGAATACATGACACAGTAATGTAAGCATGGTTGGCTGGACTGTTTGGGGGCTTTAGTGAATCAGAGAAGCCCAAGGTAATCTCAATCAACTTAACTTAATTTCTGTCTTTACTTGGACTTCCCAAACAAAGTGCCATACTTTTGATTCTGTATAAACCAAAGGAGTTGCCTGTATTTCTGCAGTAGGCCAGCAGCCTACTGGAGCCATCTTTGCCCATCATGTCCTGATGTGCTGTGCCTCTGTGCTGTACTCGCTTTAAACTGCCTCTGCCCAGCTAGACCCGTTTCACCGTGTGTTTGTCACAAAGTTGCTCACACTACGAATGTTGAAACTGCTCATTAAAAAGTACAACTCCACCTGAGCTCATCTAGTTATGTTATAGTTATGTTATATTCCTCTGTTATAATGTTTATATAGGGTTGTATTTAGGTCAGAGTTATTGAATAATCATAATAAGGGAAGTGCAAACTTTTTAAAAGGCTCATAAGAAGGGAAGATACTAAATGCCCATATTGCAACCAGGTGACTCCCAGGTGTGCACTGAACAAGCAGATGAAGCCATGAGGAAACTGAGGAATATTCTGAGCAGAGAATTATTGGGAAAAACTGAACAATTAAAGGCCCAGCTCCAGGAGCCTCCACAGGGGTAGAAATTAATCAAGAATCGAAATCTGAGTCTCCAATGAGGCTTCTCCCTCACATGGACAGGCCACTGAACACTTACTATCAATAGGGACCTCCTAGCAGGTAGTTTTAACTGCAGCAGCTTTGAATGAGGCATCAGGTCCAAAAGAAGTGGCAACGGAAGGTAAAAGGAAGACAGCCTCTGCCATTTCCCTCTGCTGATGGTGCCTGAAAGTGTCACAGTGACTCGGAAGCAATAAAAGACAAAAGCCAAGCAGCCTCAGACAAAAGCCAAGGTGGCACTGCAGGCTGAGGAATTTACACTAAGTGAGCAGAGAAAGCTTGAGAGAGAGTTCAAGAAGTTCAGATGGCCCAGGATTGGAGGAAAGAAAACTCTGAGTAAACTTAGAAAGTTGTCAGACCCAGAATGACAAACCTTGGTAAGTCTTGTGAGATTTTGCCTTTTTAAATTTGAACCTGACTAATGTGAGGACACAACATGTCCCCTGTTATATCCCCTGTTGAAGGGAATATGGAACAGGCTATAGAGCCCTCATTCTTTGATGCAATTTTCTTTGGAATATGTCCCAATTAAGCTGTGTGGTTGGGCACTAGTTGGTAGTTCAGGCCCAAGCCAAGATAGGCCTGACCTTTCCTCTAAGATCTTTTTGCAGTTTTTTGCCCAGAAGAGCTGGGATTAGGATTAGGGATTTTGGCATGCAGTATGATGACAAAAACTGCAGTTAACCCCTCCAAGCCACCATGCAGAAGTGGAAGTCGGCACTGTACCACATCTCCAGGAGCAACGGAGCCCCGTGCAGTGCAGAAGAACCCACAATCTTGAGCAGCTTCCCACAGTGCAGTGAATCCAAGGAGCAGCTCATAAGACTTTCCAGTATGGGCCCCCCTCTCCAGCCCATTGCTGAAGGGCAGGTATAGGGGTGAAGGCCCCCAGAACTACCCTTTGGGGAGCCCCAAGTTTCAGACTGCCTGGGCATGGGTGAAGGCTCTCCAAGAGGGTGCCACCTATAGATTTCGCTTTGCAGTTAATAGTGTTTTAAAATTATATTTAGCATTTTCTTTTGGGCTTTTTTTGCCTTCATTGTCTGTAATTTTTCTGTGTGTGTTTACACTGCTTGCGAGGAGGGGATTTTGTTTACACATGACACCCCAGCAAATTAGTGTTCCCAGATTTCTGGGTGAGGGCTCAAGCCACTGGTATAATTTATGGAATACCCTGAAATATAAACCTGGCCCTCCTTGCTGCCAACTGATGCCCAACAGAAGGGTTACAGTTGTATTTTTAATTCCACAGAATGCAGCTAGCGTTTATACTATGAAAGTGGGAAAAATGTAAGTAACTGAATAAAAAACAGTGACTTTCTGAAATACAGCTTGAGAAAATGGCTCTTTTGGGCTCCGTTTCTTGGTCACCTATATTTTTTTCAGTTACCTGTACCTGTTATATTCAGGACCAAGACTACAAAGTGCAAAATCACTATAGGAATAAAGGGCTGCCTTGCATATTCTCAACCAAACTGCTAGCTAAATTCTGATTCTCTCACATGGTTATCATTAGTGTCAGGTTTTATGCTTGACATTTGGGTATCAAATTTTGTTTTTAATCTATCAACTAGAAAATCTTGTAATGCAAGCAGAACTGATAGAGAAGCTATTGATGGAGCATGGATAGGAGTCTCACGATGGTGGGACAGTGTCTACAGTGTCTCTTCTATAATTAGAACCACATTTTATGGATTTGGGATTGGTTGTTACTTGGGAAATGCATTACCTCTGTTGGACCAGCATATAGCATGGGTGCAGGGAAGATTGCAACCACAGTTCCCTTTGGATCTAAGACATTTTCCTCAAGCACTGCCGCATGCTGCTTCATTCGCCACTCAAGTGGCACATCATCATCTTTGGTCCACCCTCCAAGAGGATGCAGGAGAAGCACAGGATGTTTGTAGCCTCTTTCTAGCAGATGGCGTTTGGTATCCTGCATGAGCAGAGCATGTCCATTGTGAACAGGGTTGCGCAGCTGAAATGCAAATATTGCATCTAAAAAGGAAAGATTCAGAAGTGTCATAAAACTGTTGAGGTGCAACTTCAAAGAAAACAAGCAATAATTAGATGTGGACATTGCATTGTTATAAGGATGAAAGTCTGTCATAAGACATCTTATAAATTGTTTGCAAAACCTATTCCATCTATTAGGTGCCTAAATGCAATCTTATTCCATTCTGTTCAAATCCATGAAACAGCTGCCAATGAAAAAGTTGAGTGGGTTCTCCTTCTCTTTGCTACATTTTGTGACCTGGTCACAAGGCTAAAGTAATGGTGTGTTACAAAAGTAGGTGTGTTTAATGGCTTCTCAGGGGCTTGATCAGGATGGAACAGGATCATGTCTGATGTCTAATATATCTAGGATGTGATCTTTTCTCTTCACATGGAATAGACCTTAAATTATTTATATCAGTTTATAACATAATAGGGAAAATATTCTCCCTTTCAAAGAGTAACTGCTCTTTGAAACCTGCTTTATTTGCGTATATTTCCTCTGAATATGATCTTGGCTCTATTTTCCCCTTGTGGCCAAAATTATTTTTCAGGTGTCAACTGTACATATTTCCAATCTATACCAAATATCACAACTGCAGTTCTAAAGTTTCTAAGTTCAACAAGATGTATAGGGAGGCTAGAAAATCTAACTAAATGAACACTGTTTTAAAAAAAGCCAAGCTGAGAGAGCACTGGAGATGGTGGGGAAGGCATGGAACATGTCCCTGGTATGGACATGTTTTGCTGAATCTTTCCAGGCACCAGCAAAACAAGATCTCATTATAAGAGCACTGTATCTGCCCAGAAGGTTCTCTTCAGTGAGTGCCAAATGTTTTGATTTCTCAGTCTTTTTGTATGGAAATTTTGAAGACACAGGAACAAGGCCTACAATTCTGTTTTCAATCTCCCATCTCATAGGTGCAGGTGAGCACTTTACCTATTGTCCAATTCCAACTGTATGTGACCTAGACAGTTCATGATTAATTCAAATAGGACAGAGATCATATACATAGGTTGCAGGAAGCAGTTGGAGAAGGAAGACCCTATTGATTACTTTTTTGCCCTTTGTTCCTCAGATTTGTAAAGTAAACTTGTTTTGACTAACAGGTACTGATAAAGTAACATTCAGCCTGTTCAGCCTTCGAAAGAGAAGGCTGAGGGGGGATCTTGTGGCCTGTTATGAACTGGTTAGGGGGGATCAGCAGGCGCTGGGGGAGTCCCTGTTCCCCCAAGCGCCGCAAGGAGTGACCAGGAACAACGGTCACAAGCTGGCGGAGGGAAGGTTTAAGTTGGACATCAGGAGGCGCTACTTCACGGTCAGGGCGGCTAGGGTCTGGAACCAGCTTCCAAGTGAGGTGGTGCAGGCTCCCACCCTGGGGGTTTTTAAGAGGAGGTTGGATGACCACCTTACTGAGGTCGTTTGACCCCAGTGCTCTTTCCTGCCATGGCAGGGGGTCAGACTAGATGATCTGCTCAGGTCCCTTCCGACCCTAGAAACTATGAAACTATGAAACATCTAGATAATGCTACTGGGAAGAGAAATGCACTATATCACAATTTATATTCTGAAAGCTATGTCAAAGTGAGGATATTACAGTAGGGAGATAAAGCATAATTAGGTTTTTACCCAGCTGAGATTAGGCAGGGTGCTTAACATAACAAATGTAGAAGCTCACCAGCATTCATTTCTTTAAACTTCTGTTTCAGCTCCAAAGGTGTCAGGCGGTATTGATCCAGTCCATCATTCCACTTTATTCTCTCTAGCACAAGAAGATCTCCACCAACCAACCAATCCCCACTTTCCATCACCATCTATAAGTTACACACACACACATTAGTCATATGACAGCCATTAAATGCTACAATATCTTCACTCATTTTATCTTTAATTCCCCTACAACTCCACAATCCAACTAAAAATGACTTAACAGTGAGGGTATACACACATACACATTCAAAGAAGCACTTCCAAAATGACCCTCAAAAGGTAAGGTGCATCTTTGAAGCACTTTTTTTGAAATATTCATAGAGTGGACTCTTCTGTGCCCTCCACTGTCCTCAGGAGCCTGCAGAGACTGTATGTGGAGAGGAATGCTGGGAATTCAGCTTTCCAGCGGAGAGGAGGGGAGATCATGGTGAAGTGTGACAAATTTTGAGCAGTCTAGGATTTGCAGTGTCTGATCATGGCCTGGCTGGTTTCTTCTAATCTAATGGAAGTAAATCTCTCTTTAAATACTAACTGACCCTTCAAAAAGATTGTTTAGGCAAGATTTTTTGCATATATATTCACTTCCCTTTTTATTAGCAATGGTTATACTGATACTGCTTTTGGAATAGTTAGGATGTAAATAGTTAGGATGTAAAATCTATTGTATATAAACTAAAGAGATAAGTGCCACATAAAAAAGATAAGTACCATTCCTGGCTACATGCATGATATGGCTGCACACATGCATGTGGCATTTATCGGTGACATTATTGGACTATACCAGCCAAAAAAGCAGATTGCCAATAAAGTCAATTTTCCTTTTATTGGTGCCAATCCAATATGGACTGATATATCAGTGCACCTCTACCGTTCCCCACTTTGGCCCTTCCCCTGCACCAAAATCCAAATCATTCATCGCACTAGTTGAGAAGGGGTGACCCAAAATGTTATGACTAGTATGTGGAACCTTAACGAGAAGTACAAACTCAGCTCAGAAAACATAATATAAAACGTGTGTGTGTGTGTGTGTACACACACACACACACACACAGGTTTAAATGTTGTTTCAATTATAAATATATATTTGTGTATAAGTATGTAAAGAACATCTATATAAAACTCTCCAGCTCTGTTCTGTGGTATCTTATTTTTCTTCTCATTCATTTGATTTTGAGTTCTTTATCTCACTGACGAAATAAACTACTCCCTCGGTAAGTAATAAACATGCTGTTAATTGATTGCTTAGAATCTGAGAAACCAATGTATTCATTCTAATGAGATCATTTTTGGGTAGTGGTTCTCTGTATTTTGCTGTGAGAATGTCTAGAAAATGCCATGTACTTTCCTAATATGAAATGAGCCATTCCCCACCTCCCCACTCCAAAGAGGATACATTAGTTTTTAGTTCTTTGAGATGTATTATTTAAAACATGGAATTCACAAACCCCCTTACTTTGACATGCGGGTGTTTTGCACAGGTCGTTCCCCAGACACGTGCACAGCGCTCCTCTTTCCTATGTTCGTAGAACTCTGGGTTTTTGAGGATAGCCACCTTCCGCCCATTGTACTCAAGTGTGAATTCAGTGCATCCTTCCAGCCGTTTCTTATTTTCCGTTGAAATGGGCAGCACAATGGGAATGCTCAGATTAATTACACCATCTGTAAAGAAAGAACCATCTATTTTAATGTATTTTAAGATTAAAGTTTGTAAAGGGAGGGGGGAAGAAAAAGGAACATGAAAATGTTCTGAAACAGGATATCCTATTTTTGCATTATTAGGATACTTGGAAGAAGAGGGATAGATGGCTGACTGCGTGGAGAACAGCATATAACTAACAATATTAAACAATTTTAGAAACAGCTGCCACTAAACAAAGGGTATGTTTAATCAGGGGTTCTTGCATGCATGTAGCTACTCCAGTGAAGGCATCAAACATAGATGCACTGCACCAATGTAAGACAGGGCTTTGAACTGGTACAACCTGGTTTATATACCAACTCTGGGAACTCAATAAAAACAAAACAGTGATTCTACATGGCAGCATCTTTAAATTCTTCCTCTGAAAACAGTTCAAATGCCCTCAGTATCATCAGTATGAGGGAATGCAAAAGGTATTCATAACAGGCAAAGATTTAGGTATTTATTTATAAACTATATTTATTCTTTGCCCATTTTAGTCCTAGATAATTAATTAATAATAAATAATGAATAATAAAGATCCTTTTACCAGTTCCAGATATACTTCATTATTAAAATGTCTTCTGAACTCTTTAGTTTCTATTATTTAACCTCCAAAAATATTTTACATATTTCCCAGAGCTAGTTTTAATTCTTTTAAAATAGTCCCTAATAAGAAGCCTTATTAAGAGTTGTTTGAAATTCTGGTAAATTAGATGGACCAAGCCAGGCCACCTTTATCTAGTATTTAATTACTATATTGACAGATTACAAATACGCATGTTGCTCCTACAAAAATGAAAACATCCAAAAACAAACTCCACGCAAACAAAATAACAAAACCAAAACTAAAAAAACCCCTTCTGTTTTGGCATTAAAGTGCTAAAGATGGAGCAGGCTCACCTCTGCTCTTACTGTCTTCAACAGGAGCAGGAATCAGCCTGGAAAATCTAATTCAGCTCTTGCTGAATCAATGGAAGTACTTTCAATGATTTCAATAGGAGTTGGACTGGATGTATCCCTGACCATACTTCTGTTACCTAAGTGCTTCCTTCATACTCTCAGACTCAATGCAATTAGATCACAATGGGCATCTATACATGTGCTCTGGGGTGGGGTGGGGTGGGGAGGGGGGACACGATGCTTTAATTAGAGTGGCTCTGAGAGCTGCTCTAATTAAAGTGCTCATAGCGTCATGTGTATTCAGCATCCCGTGCTTCAAAATGCCAGTGGGGGTGATTTAACTAAAGCTTGTTTGATAAGCTTTAGTTAAAGCGCCCCCGCTGCCATTTTGCGATGCAGGAATGCTGAATACATGTGATGTAGAGGCTGCTGAAGCCTGCTATTTAGCACACTCCAGCAGACTCAATTAATTAGCAACCATTGGAGTAGAGCTCCATCTTGTATAGGAGCCCAATGATTGAATACACTTCATCTTTTTCAGGTTGCTTAGATGTCCTAACAAACTTCTGTCTAATATCAATTTCCACCCACAAAATGTCCTGTTGTAGAAATTTACTAATAACATCCCATTTCCAATAATTTCTACCTTAACAAGCAATATAAAAATCTCACTGAATGTTACTGTATCACCATCACTTGAATTGCCCCTTTTACTTCTCAGTGGTTAAAAAAGTAGTCACACATCATTTTTTTTCCTTCTTGATATCTTTATACACTTATTCCATACCTTACCTTTAAACAGTTTGCAGTTCAGTCCATTTTTTAGGTTAGTGTACAAGCAAGACTTTGATCTTTAATATTTCTTCCAGAGGTTTAATTATGTCATTCACAGTATTAATTAAAGATGTTTAATGTTCCTGTTTTTAACCTGAGGTTAGGGTTTTCCTATTTTTGCTGGGATATATGAATATGCACTACCAGTAAATAATAATATATCCCTCCTAATGGCTTACATTCATAAAAAAGAAACATTGAACAAATCAGCAAGTGTGATACTAAATGTGATAGGCTGACTATGAGACGCTAACGATTTTGGTCTGATTTTTACTCATGGTATTTAAAATCCTCCAGAATTTTATATTTATCTCTAATACACTAAATGTCTATCATTCATCAAAATGAATAACAAATTTAAATTCATGCATGATCAGATGCTTAAAAATGTGGTCATGTGTGATCCAATCAGGTAAGTTTTCCTTCCTTTAAATCTTCCTGTCTGATAGACTTTATCATGATTTTGAAAATACATTTAAAAAAAATGCAATCCACATCAAGTCTACTCATCAAATAGAAACATTTAATGTGCACTAGTTGGTTTGAAAAGCCAATGTGGAAAAAAAATTAACATATTAAACAAATACTTTGGGGCTTAGGGATTTCCATTTTCACTTTCAACTTTCAAATACAATAAAGAAAATAGCAATAAGTTATGATATTACCATGTACAACTTATATAAGTTATACAATTAGCATTCTCACAAACCCAGTCAATATTGGGGCTTGGGGTTACTGTATAACTGGTTGGATCAACAAACTAGTGCTTATACCAGTCTTCTAATTTGGATTTCATTTTGACAGAGTATTTAACCATTTTATGATAAAATCTCTAACTATAGTAATTTCCATGCCATCTGGAAAATAATTATATACATACCAACTACAGACATACCGCATGTACCCTTTCCTGGAGGAATACAAATACGATTAACATGCATGTTTAACTCTCCCCTCCCCCTGCAAAGCAACAAACCAAAACAAAAACCAAAAAAACCCAGCAACTGTATTGTTACAGTGTTAGGAATCAAATAATTAATTTTAAATCCCACACAGGTATGGCATAATTTTATTGTAGGTGTTTTCTTTTTTAACCTCTTTTTCTTTCAATGCAAATATTAGATTTACAATTGATGGTTAATCTTTTCATTTGCTCTTTTAGGAACATGTACTGCATTCATTCCAAACAAACTGAATATTCAAGAATCCATAGCAGGCAAAGTGTTGAAAGCACTATGTGCCTATTGCATATTGTGGTATCTCACCTTCCCTGGTTCTCCACAGCCCCGACTCAAGGAGCTAGCATCCAGTTCTGCTCCTGAGAGACAGACTTTACCTCTGGTCAGACAATCTAGTGCAACCCACAATTTGAAGCAGCAGAGTAGGCAGTATCTTCAGAGTGAAGGCATTTGTTGGGCAAAGGCCGCCCAGCAAAAGGTTGTCTGTTCTACCCTCCCTCTGAAGGGGTTAAGCAGTACCTCCATTCTCAATCCAGCTCACATAGCCCTGCGCACCCACAAAAATGCTCAGCTGTTCCCTTTTCAGTCCCTCCATCTCCCCAAAGTTCCTCTACTTCTCTCAGTCTCCAGACTCTTCTGGCCAAGAGCTGACAGGTTACTTCCTCCAATTCTCCCATTACCATGTTTATCACACTTGGGGTGTGGGTGGCAGACATGGGAAAGGGGGGGAGGGAGAGAGGCATCTCACTTTCATTGCTATGTCAACAAAGCTATTCAAGACTGTTGGTGCTTAAAGTCCATTTGGTCTTGTCCTGTACCTAGCTAGATGTGGCACTTAATCCTTCATTCTCTGTGCACAAGTGAGTGGGGTAAACTGAGTCACACAAGCCTCTGGCTGCACAGAATAGAAAGGCAGCTGGATGCTTCTGTCAGAGAAGGTGTCTCTTCCAAGAGCTAAGTTAAGACTTAAGTGGCCCTACAGCTGCTGCTGCCAAATTAAGGGCTTTGGATCCTCATTTGCCATATATATAAAACTGGAATGGTTGCACAGCCAGGGAAGGATTAACCTGGCTCTTGGCAATGCCACCTCATCTCTGAGCAGCATCCTGCCAGGTGCTCTGTTACATGCGGCTAGAGACTTGAGCCTCCCTGCCTGCATTCTGGTACCCCAGGTTGCAAACACTATCAGGTACACTTCTGGGGAATATAAATCAGAGTGGCAGCAGAGGAGAAGGGGAGCTTAACCTGTGGTAGTCCTGCCAAAAATGTAGGCCACCATTGTTTTAAGGTTGTTTTCAAGTGTAATCATAAACAGTAAATCACAGTAAAACCAGCCAGGAGGTAACAGAGGTATGGGTTATAGTGAAGACATTTGCTCTGAGGGGAAAAGTTACAGCTAGAAGGTCAGTCAAAAAGATACTCAGGTTTATTAAAGCCACCTGCAAATCTAGAAACAAGGATTAAGACCACATGACCATTAGACTACAAAAACTATGCTTGCCATGTCCCAACAGCATGACTTTAGCCTTACATGTTTAATGCTAAATTATTTTAGTCTTGTCAGTATTTATACTAGACACTGAGCAAATCTACATGTGCAAATGCTGCAGGGTAGATTTACTTTAGAGTAAATTACTCTACAGTACAGTAAACCCACCCAGGGCAGGCGTCTACAGATGTAGGGATGCGGTAGAAGATCTGTTGCTCCTGGTAGTAGGCTGCTCCCTCCCTCTCTGGCCCTGCACTGAGCCCCTGCAGCAGTCAGGTGGAGCTCTAGGCTCCCCTCCGTGCTAGCCCAGGGGCTGGCAGGGAGCAGAGGGCCAGGAGACAGCTGTCTCTTGGTAGGGGCTGGGAGATTGCTCTCTGCTTCCAGGGGGCTGCCTGCTGCAAGGAGGCACCAGGGAGCATCTGCCTTTGGCTCCCCAGTAGGGGGCAGGGGATGTGGAAAGTGCTGCAGGGGAGAGGCAGGCTCCACAGTGCCTGCTCTGTGATTGTGATCAGGGAGTGGGGGCTGGGAGCTCCCTGCTGCGGAGGCACAGTCTCCACCAAGGCACTGGTACCTTGGCAGCAGGCAGCTCCCAGGGGCAGGGAACAATCTCCTGCCCCTTGCTGCCTGGCTGGCCAGGAGCAATGTTGCTTCTGATTGAGCATCCACATATGCCATAAAGTGCAGTAAGTAATTGAGAGTAAAGATGCTGCGTATATTTACAGGTAGCAAATGTATACGTGATTACAGCCAATTACTGCGCAGTAAGCGTCAGCATGTGTAGACAGTGACACTTACTGCAAAGTAATTAGCTGTAATCTCGAGTAAAGCATCTCATATAGATGTGCCCACTGGGGACAGAAACACAATCATTGCGAGTCTGATGAGCAGGATGTGTAGTTCTGAGTGTAAGCTACATACTGGTGATGCTGTAGTTCAAATGTCGACAGTCCAAACACATTGAAAAGGAATGGTACCAGCACTGAACTCAATTTACAGAAACTTTTACAGTCAAAATATACTCATCCTGTACAAGCTCTCATCACCTGATTTTGCCTCTCTCACTTACTGTCAGTATCATCTTATTATGTGAGTAGACACAATCAATGAAACTGAGTTATTATTCAACTCTGAAAAATGTAAAAAGCAAGAAATCATACCATTCAGCAGAGTCCCAAAATGGATCACTTGCAAGTATTCAATCTCACGCATAAATCCCTTCAGTGGTGTGGCCCAACCTTCACTCAGAACTTGGACCCACTGTAGGTCTAACTGAAAAGCAAATTCAGTTATATAATCAGACAACACCATCAAGGATGGTTTTCATCAGGCAGGGGAAAGCCTGAGCCTGTGCTTATCTGCTTATCTCCTCACACCTTGTGGCACCCTTCAAAGGATCTGGCATCACTGCAGGGCACTCTGGTTGAGAATCACTGGACAGGTTACATGAGACACTTACTGTGCATCAGCCTAATAACACTGCACAGTAGCATGTCACAGCGAAAACTATGCTAATAGCCTACTGCGCAGTATTAGGCTAATGTGCAGTAAGTGTCACTAAATAACCATGCACTCCTGCTACTGAGCAGTAAATCTAGGTACTGAACCTTTAATTAGTACTTTATTAAGGAAGTACTGAAGTAAATGTGCAGTATCTAAAGGTGCATTAATGAATGTGTAGATGGGCCCAGTGTCTTAAGCACATCTTTCATCCAGATGGATTTTCAAAGTCTTTTTAAGACTGTGGATCAAAAACTGTCCTCAGTTACATTCATGCAACCTTATTTGCTTCCATGATATTGCTAACAGTTGCACCTATAATTTGCTTACAATAAGAAAGGGCACAGAGGCAATTTTACAGGGAGAAAAAGCACCCATAATAAAAATGTGGGGCTGATACCCAACTAAAATTTTTGGCCAAATTATTGAAGCTTAGTGATACTTATAAGCCTTAGCATAAGCAAAATAGGCTGTAGCATACTAGAAGCTATACAAAAAATTCTGTCCATTTAGATATGTTCTTCAGAATAAATCTTTCAACTATATCTCAGCTTGAAAAGTTTTAATCACAAAGATTATTTTTCAATTGTCTTTGTGAGACTCTAAGAGTACTGGCAACAAATACTATTAAGTTGTCACTAGTCAAACTTAAGGGATGGAATATATGCTGTTCTTTGAAAGATTTATGTTGTAAATTTTGATCAACTTTATTTTAATCTGATTATATCATGGTAGAGAATTCTATTTTTGTATATAATGAATGCTTCTTTGGAAGATAAAATCAAGGTGGAAACAGAGGTAGTAAAAACATTGTTTCTATGATGCTAATCAGAACTGATGGACTAAATCTGAATTTCAAAGTCCTGGGTTTGTAGCATTTGAAAAAGGAGTTCCACAGTTAGGAATCAGACATCCCAAAACTAATGATATAACTGTAATAGTACAGTATCTACTAATACTAAAGAGAAACATAACACATAGAAAAAGTTATGCAAAAAGTATTTTTTTCCTATTTGTTTTGATTCATATCCTGTTGCTGTCATGTTACTACTTTTTTAATCAAATGCTAATCCTTTAACTAATCATATTCATATGATTTATAACAACCAGAAATCAAAGGAATTATGGACATATATTTGGTACTGCAACTTGTGCAGTAATTTCTTAACCTCTAAACCTAAGAGGTAAAATAAATTTTAAAAATGTCATTGCATTCACAATGCCCACCTTGGTAATCTCCAGAGCAGGCAGTGCATTAGCTTCTGCACGAGCCATGTCAATCTTATTTTCAGGTACAAACAATTCAAGAACATCCCTAATTGCAGTATTGGGAACAATGTTCTAAAAAAAAAAAAAAAATCAGTTAATGCCTTATTTTTAAGCAGAAATGATACCAGAAAGGAAACAACTGAAAACAGACTTTAGAATCAGCCAGTAGGCAGGGTGAGTAAAATATCACCTACTTGTGCTTGTAGCAACTCTACAACCTGCTGAATACAGTCATTCACTGTAGAAGTATTAGTTTTCAATACTAGATCAGGATGTTCTGGTTTCTCATATTCTGAGTCAATCCCAGTGAATCCTATGGACAAGTAAACCAAAACTAAATTGATTGATACAACACTCAGTATACTAAGTGTCAATAAAACTGTAGAAATGGCAAGGAAATAGACTGTCATGCAAGGTTTGCATGCTCAAAAATGGTCTTGACACTTCTTCTCATTCTATAAATAAAGCACTCAATAAAACCGGAGAATTATGATCTTCCATGCTACAAAAGAAACTTGTATTTGCTTACCTCTGGAGATCTGTTGAGGTCAGTACTGAAAAGACCATTTATTATATTGTCTGGAAAGCCAGAAACAAAAAAGAGGTATTTTTGAAGACAGAAGCAAGGGGTAAAGAAGTCTATTAGGGATCTGCAGGATTTAGAAGGTAGAAATTAGCTTATTTCTATTCCCCTCCTTTCCTTCATCTTCCACAGGTGGCTGACTTTCTTCCTTTAACTTGAAGAGGTAGCAACTCTGATTCTCTTTATCTTTGTCCACTATTGATGAGAAGAGAAGGGAGAGAATAAAAAGAAGATATTTTGATAGCATTAAAATAACTAATTAACTATCGTACCTTTGATTTCTCCAGCCCTTGCTTTTTTGTAAAGACCTTTCACATCCCTGCTTTCACAGATATTTAGAGGAGCATCTATAAAGATTTCAAAGAAGGGAAGTCCAGCAATTTCATGAATTTTCCTTGCATTTCGACGATCCTGTTATTAGCAAGAGGGGAGATCATAAGTCAATTCTCACTGAAATGTTGCTAACAGTTCTATTTGGCAACTAGCATCTGCCTGGAGTTGAATTTACCTATTAAAGGTATGGCCAAATTCATCCTCTTTATAATTTTATTTCATATGTAAAAATATATTCCAGTTAAGAAAAATGTATCTTTTGAATGTTTAATAAAAATCATTACTTTGATCTCAATTCTGTTTTTCATAGGTAATTTGGTATAGCCGAATCTTTAAATTTGAACAATTATTTGTTAAGTAACCTTTTAAAGAAAGAATGCTATAATTGGCTGCACTGACCTGACATTAGAAGACATTTGGTGTTATTATGACACATAATTAATTTTAAGTATAATAGAAATGAATTAGAATTATATCAATGTGATGTTAATATAAAAACCTAGAGTCTTTATTCCAGTTTTCCTTCTTTACAGAAACTTTTGATTATAAGTCTCTTCAGTGAGATTTTACACTTTTTTCACCTTTAAATAGAATCCAAGTTTTCTGTATATTTTTAAACATGAATATGTTATGCTAAATTGCTTTCTAGCAATTTGGACCTAGGAAATTTACTTTTGCATTCTTGTGAGTTTGTTTTTTTAAATGACAGGAGGGAAAAATTAAAAGGCATGTCTGCAACAATATAAATTACTCTGTTTAGAATTTTTCCTTTCTTCAAAATTACAGGAATATACCAGAATAGATTTCAATACATTTACCTTTGTAAAAGGGGAAATGAAACTAGTTATGCACACAAGACCAGCATCCGCAAAAAGCCTGGCAACCTCAGCAACACGTCGGATATTTTCTTCTCGGTCATCAGTTGAGAAACCCAAATTTTTATTTAGGCCATGCCGAACATTATCTCCATCCAGAGAGTAGCAAGGAATGCCATGGGACACCAGATACTCTTCCAGAGCAAAGCCAATGGTTGTCTTACCAGCACCAGAAAGACCTATTAGAGAGGACAGGCAAGCAATATGGAGGTTCATCTTCAGCATTAAAAAGAGAGAAAGCCAAAACTGTAGTCTAATCAACTTCTGGTTATGAGTAATTCAACAACAGCTTCTATACAACTATGCCTAGAGAAAACAGACTAGATACCTAAAACAGACTGGAAAATAAGGACAAACATTAGCCAAAATAAGATCATTCCTTCTCATTATAAAACCAAAAGAGAGGACTTTTTAAGGCACATTAACTCCATGAAGATTACTTCACAGAGATTCACAACATCATCCTGTTGGGGCTAATGCAGGTTTGGCACCCTACTTACCCCATGAGTGAGATTCACTCAGACCTCTTATATCTCAAGTGCTCTGCAGAATGCCAAGACAATTGGGACAGGAAATCTGTACCCGCACAGAGACGTACCATGGTGAGGTGCAGAACCTAATACTTCAATATTTTATGACACTCAAAGGCCCTATATTAGGTACAATGCCAACCACTTCTTGTACCAAATCCATCTCTCTATACATACTTTAGACAGCACGTAAGCAGTCCCTAGTATCTGTGTTGGAGAAAGAAAGGCTGGCTTGAGACAATATGGTCCATTTGATTTTCATTAGATGGTCAACTAACAGACAAGGACTAAGTACAGACAGTCAAAAAGCCCAAGGCTGAATGGATTCAACCTTCACAGGCTGGTCTAAGCTGCATAGATTAAACAGATAAGCAAGTGACCAGACATTTACTTTTGATTCCAGAAATGTAGCCACATGCCTGCAGTGGCCCAAGGTAGAAGCTGGAGGGTGCTAGAGTGAGCCCCCGCTTCCCTTCCGTAGCAGCTGCAAGGCTGGCAGGAAGCTGAGCTGGGGCAGGGGGTGTGGCCAGGCCCTGACAAGCTGCTGAGTATGACTGGGGAGGGGTTTAAACCCCCCCCCGGCTGACAGAGACCCCAGCTGGGGTGTGCCTGGAGGGAAAAGGGGGAAGCAGCCCTTGCCAGGTTTGTCCCCAAGGGAAGGGGGCATAGCCAGACACTGGCCAGAGCAGCAGCTCAGGCAAAGAAAGGGAGAGATGGGGTTTAAACCTCCCACCTCCCTTGTCTCCTACTGGCATGGGGACGCCAGCCAGGGTTTGCCTGGCTTTTTGCCCCAGTGACCGTTCATTTGTTGGGGGGCATGGCCAGAGCTGGCCTGGGCATTGCCTTAGGTGAAGGGAGGAGCAGAGAGGGGGATTAAACTCCCCTGTCTCCCCTCTCTCCCACCAGCATGGGGACCCCAGAAGAGTTTAATTCCCCTGCCTGTCCTCCCTCTGCCTGAGGTACTGCCCAGGCTGGCTCCAGCCATGCTTCCCACCATGTGAGTGGCCAGCAGGGTGGAAAGTTAGGAAGACCCCAGCTGGGGTCCTTGTGTCAGCAGGATAGAGGGGAAACAGGCCAGAGCCAGCCTGAGGTGCTGCCTGGGCTGGCTCTGGCCATGCCTGAGCCACTAGAGCAGCAAGCAGGGAGAAAACCTGCGCAGACCTGAGGTGGAGTCCCATGTGGGTGGGAGAGTGGAGGTAGGGGGGTTTAATCCCCCTCCCTTCCCCTGAGCCTGCTGGCCCATGCCCCATCCCCTCCACTCTAGCAGGGAAAAGTCTGGCAGGAGCTGCTCTGCCCACACTAGACAGACAGGGTGTGCCAGCTGGGTTTCCCACCCCCAACCCCATGTCAGTCAGCCCTTACTGTTCCAGCTAGGGAGCAGAGAGGTAGGGCTAACCCTGTTCTTCTCAAGCAGACAGCACAGCCCAGCCCAGCCCAGGGCTGCAAATCATGCTAGGATACTGGGGCACTGATTTAACTTGAACCAGGAAGGGGTCTGGGACAGAAGTTCCATAAACCAGTTTGACCTAAATCAGTTAAGTCCGATACTACATTCAGTCAGGTTTATCTGAAACCAGTTTTGGCCATTTTGAAACCAGTTTATGTGCACTGAACTTCTGTTCTGTTATAGGTTTAAACCAGTGTCTGATCACTTAAACTGGTGTATGTGTAACGTCTGTCCCTAGCCCTGTTGTGTTACAGGTTTGAACTTGTTTCTGATCACTTATATTGGTTTATGTGTAATTTCTGTCCCTAGCCAAGGACTATTGTTAATCTAGGAAAGCTGTCTAAAGGGCCTCAGATATACTTACATTTTTTAGCCCATTCTTTTAATATTAAAGTAACAGACAGTCACTATTTCTTTTAGCATAAGCAGTAATCAGTAGCATAACTAGGGTGGGCTGACAGGGGAAACTGCCCCAGGCACTGACTTGTGGGGGGAGGTTAAAAAAAAAAGAGCTGTTGCTGGCAGCCACATGATTGCAATTGCTCCAGTCACTTCTGGAAGTAAAATAATTAGCAGTACTAATATAAACACCGACACATGGAGTTTCTAAAATGAAAATACTTTGGACTTTCCAATTCGCTGGAAAATATTTTGAAATTTCCCATAAACTGGAAATTCCGAGCTCCTGACATCTCTGCTTGGTTTATTGACTTGTGTTTACGGGTTTCAAGTTGCAATTATCCACCAGTAATAAGCAATATTTCCACATTCATTTTCAGTCATAATAAGGATTACAATACCTGTTAGCCAAACTGTGCAGCCTCGAAATCCACCTCTCGTACCCACAATTTGTCCTCTCTTACTCCTGCTGACATGATGAGCTTGATAAATCACATTAGTGGATCTTGGGAGAGCCTACAAACACATACACAAACACTTTATTGTTGTGTTTCATATTGTAGAACAGAAAATTTCAACAAGAATTAACATAAAATAAAACATCAAAATTCAATCAAAAACTGTTATCTATAGTAAAGCCCAGAAAAATGTTTTTGAGTAAATAGTGCACAGATTTATAGAGAACTTCAGCAGTTGTACAGAAAGGGGTAAAATAATAAGTAAGATATTTTTGTTTGGTTCTATATAGATGTGGAGTGACACAGAGAGCAGGGACAAGGGCTTAGGAAAGTGGGGACGGGAACTGGGAATGGCAGGGATGAGAAGAATGTGACCGAGAGTAGGGAACGTGACAAGAAAGACAATAATTAGGATAGAGTCTGGAGGAAATAGACTGGGCCTGAGAGGAAAAGCCTGATGGGAAGAAATGGTATGGAATCTTGAATTGAGGACTGTATTATGCCATACACACAAGAGGTATGAATTAAAGTTGAACCAGCAATTTTTCTTTTTATATTTTCTAATATTGGAGTGCTAGACTTTACAACTACAATTTAAGTTTTTTTGTTTATGGAAACTACACATATATAATTTCAAGTAACTAGGCCTTCAGACTTCTGAATAAGGGTCTCCAGTTTAGCAATGTAATATTTTATCTATTGTGGTAAATCAGACACTGTATCATGGTCATTAAAGAAAGGAGGTCATTATTTATAGGCATATATAGGCATCTGCCTGTCTCACAAGACAACAGATTTGTACCAAATGAGGCATCAGCTCATTAAACATCTGTGTGTGTGTGGTTGTAGAGCCCAATTCTTGAATGACAGTCCCTTCACTTATCGCATATGAAGCTCATATCTAACAGTCCTGAATGTGATGTGGGTTTCTTCCTGAGGTTTCTTCTTTCCTCAGCCTGCTGGGCTCTTCTTTCATCCAGTGCCTTCATTCCATGCTTAATAGACAATTTGCAAGTGCTTAAATCCTCAGCAATCTTCTTTCAGTAATTTGGCTCAGGGTTCATTGCCTTCATATCTGTCTTGCAAACATCTTTGAAATGGAGATAAGAATAACTATGTGGTCTTCTTCTTTTTGTAAAGAGTTCTCCATACAAGCGATCACCATACAAGGCCTTTGTTTATCCTCAGTATAAACTTGCATTGGTGCTGTTCTATTAATTGGACCATGGGCCTAAGAAAACAGCTTGTGTTCAAATGCCTTTACCACTGAATGTTGGCTTCTCATTAGGGCTGGGTTTCCTATTGAGCCAAAGAAAAAGCTTCAGGGCTAGGGACAGACATTCAAATAGCTGAAGCCTAAATTGATTCAGACTTTGTAGGTTAGTCAAACCTGGCTAAGTTGAACCAATTTGCAAGTGAACAGACATTCAGGATGTGCAGGCACATGCCTGCAGTGGCTCAGGCCAGAAGCCAAGGGGCATTAGAGTGTGTCCTCAGCTGCAGGGAAGCTGTGTTGGGGGAAGGGGTGTGGCCAGCCCCTGTCAGTAGTCTCAAGTGAACTGGCCAGGGAGAGGGTTTCATTCAGCGGCAGGGGTGGGGGCATGGCCACAGGCTGGCTGGCATGGCCCTGTTAAGTGACGAGGCAAGGAGGGTGGTTATTTCCCCCCCCCCTCCAGCGTCTGGTGGAGGGGGCAGGGAAGGAGCTTATTCCGCTGCTTGCCCTATGCAGTGATTGATCAGTGACAGCAGTGGTCACAGTGGGTGGACCCCAGCTGTAGTTCCCTGGGGACAGAGCGGGGAATAAACCCCCTCCCCACCCCATCTGCCACAGGGGCCATGTTGGCCAGCCTCTGGCCATGCCCAGGGCCCTGCTGCTGCTGCAGTGAGGGGGGACTGCCAAGTGGACCCCAGGAGCAGGGAATTAAACCCCCTCCCTGGCCAGTTTACTTGAGGCTGCTGCCGGGGCTGGTTCTGCCCTCGCTGCTGGAGCAGTGAGCAGCAAAATGCCTGGCAAGTCCATGCTGGTGGAACATGGGAGGGAAGGAGGGAAAAGACCACTTCCCTGCCCCCTTTGCATTGTGGGGGGGGCGGCGTCTGGCCATGCCATCGCCCTTGCCCACCCCTGCTCCAGCTAGGCAGCAGAGGGACAGGGCCAGCCCTGCTCTGCTGGAGCAGAGAGCACAGCCCCTCCCCCCTCTTGGGCTGCAGAGCATGCTGGGATGCTGGGGGACTCTGGTTTAACTTAAACCAGGAACGGACCTGGGACAGAAGTTCCATAAAGCAGTTTGAGCTCAATCAGTTAAGTCTGATACTACATTCAACCAGGTTTATCCTAAACTGTATTTGGCCATTTTGAAACTGGTTTCTGTGCACTGAGCTTATTTTCTGTTAAAGGTTTAAACCAGTTTCTGTGTAACTTCTGTCCCTAGCCCAGGAGTCTGAAGGGAAAAACCATACAAATATTTTCTCCCAAGGAGATCTGGATGATCATTTACACAACGTTTAGTGTACTGCATATGGAACAAGGAGCTCTTAAATTTCACCATAATGTTCCACCTAGTGTTGTAAAAATATTTATACTTCTCCTAGGATTAAAGAGGGAAAGTGTTAACATTTTGTTTGCCCCAGATAATTTCAGAAAAAAGAAAAAAAGAGTCAGCCACAAGAAAATAAAATGGAAGAAGTATTTTAAACATGTTGGCCAGGCAGACAGTTAATTTGTTCTGATTCTGAGATCAGTAACAGTCTTACGATTCAGCAACAGAATACACATCTATTTGGAAAAATCAATATTTAGTAATAACAGATGAGTTTGCTCCTCTAAAATTCAGACAAAAAGTTTTCAGTAACAAAGAAGTCATTCCTTTTCCTGCTCCCCATTTACTCTGCCTTTCCTCAGAGAGACTAGCCTAACAATTCTGAGAAAAATAATCAGTTTCTCACTTATTTAAAATGTTTTGGTTAAAAGATTTCAAAAGCCGACTTTCTTTTTTTACACCTGAAAATTCTGGGTGCAGTCTTATACTTGCAATTTTTTAGGAGTAAAAGGGACTGATCATCTTGGACTAACTAGGATAGTCCCAAATTTCAGGACAATGTCCCAGTTTCCCCAAGGACTCACTGATCATCTTGGACTGATAATGCTGCTTCCCAAAGCAATATTTCCACATTGCATAGTTGCATTCTTATGGTACTGCACCTCGGCTACTTAGTTATGCTCCTCTCCAGAATTAACAATGTGTCTACAGTGATGCATTAGGACAGCAATAATAACCAAAAAGAGAGATATAAACTACTTCAATGGGAGGTTTGTGGAGCATCCAGGATTTTGCTCCCTGAAAGGTGGCTGCTTTATTTATGGCACAACTACTGTTACATTCTTATATCTGACCTACAGGCATTTTTAATATCCAAGTGCCAATAACTGAGTGTACAACGGACAGACACAGAAGTTAGAAGGTGTCAGCAATGCTTGCCAGAAGCAGGCTGGAATGGCCTAGCCTGGGTCCGAGGCAGTCCAGTACTGCTTCTCTGCACTGTCTGAGGTGCAGTGCAGGGAAGCTCCCTGCTGCCCCGCCACCTGGCCCCGGTGCAGGAAAAGCCTCCCATTGATGAACTCTGTGGAGGACACCCTGCTCTCTGTGGGCCAGATCCAGCCCATGGGCCATTAGTTGCCCATCCCTGAAATAAGGCATTGAGGAAATGGAGGAAACTGAGTGGAGTGATTTGTGACAAGAAAGTGCCAATTCATCTGAAGGAAAAAAATCCACAAGACAGTGGTGTTATTGTAGGGATGGAGTTGCTGGGCAGTGAAGAAACAACATTTATCCATGGAGGTGTTAGAGATGAAGATGTTCAGGTGGATCGGGAAGTCAGCAGCAGAGCCTAACAAGCAGAGTTGGTGCCCAGTGGGGCGCAGGTTCCTAGAGCAGGAGCAGAGGGTAGGGGCATTTTGAAACCGGGGGGTAGTCCAGAGAGCAGAGCAGGGCCAGGCATGGGTCCAAGGGAGGGGAAGGTGTACAGGTTCCAAGAGCAGGGGCAGGGGGGCAGCAGTCTTACCCATGCTAGGAACTCCTCAACACACAAAGATGATATCAATAAAGGAAAAACTGGGCAGACTACAAGTACTTAGAATAGGGGGGGAAATCCTCCCAGATTGCAAGATATGATAAATTCCTATTCTCAGATCCATGATACTGTCTCATGACATGATGGGAAGTCCCAGAAGTAAAAAATTTTGAAAGCTGCTGTTTTAACCAGTGGGAGATACATTCAGCCCTGATGGGATTCAACAGGCCTCCTGTTCTCACTCTCAGTTCCCATTTTAATTGCCATAGCTCACAGAACAGATGGTTGCTAGCAACTGATTGCTTCTCCTTCAGCAGTTACTTCACTGGTTAAAACAAACTGTTTTGGAGCCTTTGTGTGGCTATTACTGAGGCTGAGTACATTTGCCTTTTTCTTTGTTTTAAAGCACGTTTTTTGCTCCTTGTCCTTGTTGAAGGAAGGAATCAGTAAATGTCACCATCTGATAAACACCAGCACATCAATGCTTCTGACCAATGCTCAGATACAGAATTCTTCCCCAGTTAATTGCTCAATATTAAAAAAATGTAATGCTGGATGTTTTGAGAGATTTGGACCACAGCATTTTAGCAAGTGCTAAATGGACATGGCATCTAAAATTAAATCTGTCATAGTATTAACTATACCTGAGGTCAAAAAGTCATATTTATTTTGAAATACCAAAGTTCGTCACAATTTACAGAACAGCATCAATTGTTGATGACTATTCCTAATTCAATAGAGCACAGAACCACTAAATCCAGGTCCAAATTTACCATTTTCTACAGTTTGGAAGCTACTGTTACTGTTAACTTAGAACTACCAACACTGCAGCACAAAGCTCACCTGACACTTCATCCTTAAGCCTGCCAGTTCCTAAAGTTTCCCTTCTGCAAAGAAAGTCTACCTCAAATAGGAACTCCCTCATGAAAATATATTATACAGCTGTCCCAGGACTAGGCCAGCAGAGAAATATTCCCTACAATATCCTAG